AGGCTGTGCCAATCTGTTCCTCCTCCAGGTGGTCACTGTCTCCATGCATCTCTGCCCACAACCTTCCTTGCCTCCTTCTCCTGCTGCTTCTTCTCTAATTGCTTCCTTATTTCTCTCCTCTAGTCACTGTTACTTTACTTCCTCCTTCAACCTCTAGCAACCCTAGAGTTTGCAATGTGGACACATTAGAAGGAGGAACATCGGTGTATGGCCACTGTCTCCAATCAGTCCATTACTCAATTAACCAATACATTTCTCCAAGGGAGGAGCTGGCATGGACTTGAGAGTGTGTTGAGCCCTGGGGGAGGGAAGGACAAAAATTCCACATAACAGAGACTCTCCCGTTGCCTGGGGTGACCTGAGTTACCTGGGAGATGCTTAATGCTCACAGCAACACCTCAAGTTTCACAGACCCTTAGAAAGGATAGAGGCAAACACTTCCAATTTCATTTAGCCAGAATAATGTGACAAGGGTCCTCCATAAACATGTGGTAGCTGCCGGGTTTGCACTGAGACTTGGAAAATTGGGAGGGATGAGACTTGGGAAGGTGTAAGGAAAGGAGAGAGGATGGGGCAGGCCTGGGTTGGGGAGAAGGGGCAAGACTGTCTGGATGCAGCAGTGGGTTCTGAGAGTAGCAGTGACCCCAGGACCTGCTGCCCTGGGAATGCCCAATCCTAGGAGACCAGGTCAGCAGGGCTGTGAAAGCAAGTGTGTGAGGAAGCCCCGTGGGCCCTTCACAGACTCTAGAATCTGCAGATGGGGAGGGTCTCCAGGAGCAGCAGGACATGGACCTCTCACCCGGAAGCACCTTCAGCACATCAGCCTTGGCTGCTGCAGAGGCTGTGAAGAGCCCCAGGAGACCGGGCCCGGGCAGGGACCCCAGAGCCTGTGTGCTGTGACTCATCCACCCCCGGCAGCGCCCTTTACACGAGGAATTAACAGTGAGGACAAACATGAGGGGAAGTCACAAGTCCTGAAAGTGCAGGAGGAGAGAGTTCACATCGCACCCACCACCTCACAGGCACTGCAAGGACGTGGTCTCCAGTGTCAACTGACAATGAGAGTTTTGTGCCCACTAGGATATGGTCCTCATAGTTCAACATGCAATAGAAAACAGCCTGCAGTGCACAATACCCGAGATGTGCTGACCAGAGACCAGGTTTCCATATTAGTAAAAAAGCAGAAACGAGCAGCTCTTATAGGAAAAATGATTTTTGAAGAGTAAAGCAACAAAAGCTGATTAGAAATAGAGCACAATGCAAGTCCAGGACACAATTTCTCTATCATATCATTTCATATGTAAAGAATAAGTCAGAATTCTATACACATTTCCTTCTTAATTTCATGTTCACTTTTCTTAGCCACCAAACAGAGAGTTTAACTCTGGGGTTAACAGAGGGTTTAACTTCCAGAACCCTCTCCCATCAGATCCCAACGGAATCTTGTTAGCTACCTGTCTCCCCTTTCTCATCACTGCACCAAATGCCCTCCACAGTGCACTGCATGAGCAAAAAGGTGGTTAGAATGAGCAACCCACCCACATATCCTCCAGTTGAGGCCTGCTGGATCTCACAGCATCACCTTGACCTTTTTCCCAAGGTCCTGAAGAGACACCCCACTGTGGATAGCAGATGGCAGTCATCTGTGCTCTGTGCAGTCACAGTCATTCAGTAAGTCACTGATATCAGTTGCAAACCTAAAGACAGAGATGCTGAAAAAGTCAATTCTCAACCTCTCACTTCTACATGTCCACTAGAGCTCTCACCTTCATGCTAACCATCCTGAAATCACAAGTGTTTTGACACATGTATAACATGCCTTTAAGTAAATTATAGCAGTCACAACTCGCTAGTGCCTACCAACTATAATACACAAAAGCCACTATATATGTTTATATATGTGTGCGGATAACTCATGCAGTCGATTTCAGCACTTTGTGAGCCCAGGGACTAGCCTGCCAGGGCCGTCTGTCATGGAATTCTCCAGGCAAGAGTACTGGAGTGGTTAGTCACTTCCTTCTTCAGGGGATCCTCCTGACTCAGGGTTCTAACCCAGGTCTTCTGGATTGCAGGTGAATTCTTTATTGTCTGAGTCACCAGGAAAGACTGAATGAATCTTCAGATCATCACCACGAGTCCTGCCGATTCTGACAGATGACGGCAGAACAGGAACTTTGGTACAAGTGAAGGTGTTTCCCAGGTGGCTTAGTGGTAAAGAATTTGCCTGCCAATGCAGGAGACGTGGGTTCAATCTCTGGGTTGGGAAGATACTTTGGAGGAGGAAATGACAATCCAGTTCAATATTCTTGCCTGGAAAATAGCATGGACAGAGGAGCCTGGTGGGATATAGTCCATGGAGTCACAAACAGTGGGGTCATAACTAAGTGACTGAGTATGCATGGATATATACAGGGTGTTAACACCCCTCTCTTGTTATTTCCTTTGTGTTTTCTGGCCATTTCAAGATGACTGTTTGCTGTTAAATTAACAAAGAAAAGACCTCTGACGCATGAGAGCATTTAGCCTGAGGGGCTAAGAGAGATGTGGCCCTTTTCTGGTTTCCATGGTAATCAATGGGCCAATCTGCTGTTCATTCCCACTGTAACTGGTAGACTCCTTATCCCCTCAGAGTAAAGAAAACTATAGCTGCTGTCTTCTGCCTGTTCCCTGCTATCCACAGTGGGTGTCTCTCTGAGAGGGTAACAGGCAGGAAGGCCAGGGGTCTCCAAACAGAGGAAATAGGCTTCAAGTGTCAGACATTTTTATCTCTCTCTTAAGCGGCAGGAATGATGCTTTTTTTTCCCCCCTTTTCTATACAAATTTAAAAGGAGATTTCTCTTAAAATACTGTGTTGCCATAATGACACCTGGTTCCACCTGAAGTTAACTATTCTCAAACCTTGAGTTAACCAATGCACTCTTCTTATGGAAATGTTTGTCTTAAGCTATGTTAATGTGCTATGCCTTTACCCCAAACTCTGTCTTGAAGTCCATTCTGCCTAATGGTTCAGAACCTACTTGACAAACCATTATGTTATATTCAGACATTGTTCCCCTAATCTATGTAAACGAAACTATTTGTATGGTAATCTGCCTGTCTACAGGATTCAAGTCAATCATTTTATGGCCTGGGATGACTCTTCCGGTGCCAAGATTATCCCAAAATACATCTTATGGATGAGGGGCCTGGTGCCATTCTGAGTTTTAAGACATTCCTTTCTTTCTTTTCTTTTCTTTTTTTTAAGAGGCTTTTCAGGGCAAAATTTAATAGTACGAAGAGGTTTACAAAAATAGATTGATACTATTTTGGGAAATAATACTGTAATGTTTTCTCAATTCAGTTTTGATAAATTGTACCTGAGTATACAAAAATTATTTCAAATTCAAACTTGACTATATAAAAAAGGGAGAGATGAAATGAATTCAGCTAGATGACAGATCTGGCAAAATATAAGAATGAAAACAATTCTGCCTAGGGCACTTATTTCATGTCCAGATGTAAACACCACTTTCAGTTGATAACTTACATTCCTCCCATCACAGGTTTGGAGTCGATCATGCAGTACAGAGCCACACAGTCAAAATCTCTGTTTTGACACAACACAAAAAAGTTGTTTCTGTTTCCTTAAACTGCCAACTGGCTGTCTATTTTTCTTTATCCCATTTATTTGTATTCCCAAGTTAACAAGTAGCATCAATAAGTATTATAGGTGAAGTGGGGTATTGCTGGATGAAAGGCTCTATAAGACGTCTTTACTGATCGAATCAGAAGGTTTATTGAGTTCAACCCTCACACCTTTTTCACCTGTTAGATATTTTACTTTAGCTCGCACTCTCTCATCTGCATCAAAATACCAAACAGTTATTGCGTACCTTGTAGCATATGCTGGTTGTACTTCATGAGGGTTGCGACGGTCAGACCAGAAAAACAGCAGTCTATCAAATTTGGGTTCAATGTCAGCAAACTGGGCTTTGCCTTCTGGAAAAATTCGAAGTATACCTCCACTTACCTTGGCATCCCAGTCTTTATTAAGATAATATATACATGTCACACATCTTCCATCTCCATTTGGATTATCGACATGACGTACGTAACCTGTTCCATTGCCAGGAGAGCAAGCAACCATGGCTTTCGTCCGGCCATTGATTTTGTAGTTGCCCAGCTTCCCGTTACAGTGGCGGATCAGGTCGTCCATGTTGTTCATGAGCAGCCCGATGGTTTCGCAGCCGGGCTCCCTGCCCTCGATCCAGGTGATCTTATCGCCTCGGATGTCCTTGGACGAGTCGCTCTTCTGGCTGACCAGCTGCCCGTCCGTGAACTTGCCCGTGTCATGCAGGGCGCGCACCTCGTCGCCGATCTGCTGGCCGGTCTCCTTGCCCAGGAAGTCGTCCACCATGCAGATGCCGTGCTTGTTCATGCAGGGTACGATGTACTCCAGCGCCAGCTTCAGTGCCGGCATCGGCTTCGTCTGCCCGTTGGGCCGCAGGCCGCCGTGGCTCAGCCCCTCGACCGGCGCGTTACTCAGCGGGTACAGGTTCGCCTTCTCCTGGTACAGCGACGGGCGGGCCAGCAGCTCCTCCTTTGCGGACTCCGCCTCAGCTGCCGCCGCTACCCAACCCTGGCTGCCGGGGGCTGTGCGGGGCAGGGACGCGGCTGCCACGGGGTCGGCCATAGGCTTGGCCTTCGCCTTGGCCGCGTCTCCGGAGGCCCGCGGACCCACGGCCTCGACGGCTCGGTCCCGGCGCGGCGCCGCCTTCCTGGCCTCCCTGGCTTCGGCGGCCCTGGGCGGCGGCGCGCGGCCCGGCTTAACGGTTGGCCCGTGCCGGGGGCAGAAACCTTCTCGCCGACCTGCCACACGAGCTTGTGCTTCTTCCAGTCCTGGCGCTGATGCTCCTTGCTGCAGTAGAAGGAGCTGTGGCAGTGGCTACAGCGCAGCAGGTTCTCCATCTTCCCGCACAGCTCGCAGTACTGCCGGTCTCGCTCGCTCGGGCTCGGCCCACCGGGCCCTCCGCTGTCATTGGCCATGGCGGCGGGGGTGGAGGCGGTGGCCGAGCAGGAGGGGTGGCGGCCGGACGGCCTAGCCTCGGGCCGGGGAGCGGGCGGAGCGGCAGGGGCCGTCACTGCGCCATGCGCCCGCCGCCCCTCGCCTCAGGAGACCGGCGCCCCGCTCCCTCGGCCCGGCCGCGTCCTCGTCCTTCGGTCGCGCCGCGCAGCGCCGGCCGCCGCCTCAGCGCCTCATCACCACTGCGCGGCGGACGGCGCCCTCCGCTCGGGCACGCGGGCCCGGCGCGCGAGACCCGCCGCCTTGGCCGCCGCCGCCTCAGCGATCTGGGCGGCCGGCTCAGCCGGCGGAGCAGCGCAGGGCGTGTGGGCGCCACTCGCTCTGCGCGCTCTGCACGTACACCCTCCTTTCTTTCTTAACAAACTGCTAGTGACTATATAACATCCAGCTAAAGACTAACAGGGGGGCACTCTTTCTGCCCCCTTCTGATGCCTATGTCAGAAACTTTCTCTATCTCCTTTATAATTAAACTTTATTACACAAAAGCTCTGAGGGATCAAGCCTCGTCTCTGGCCCTGGATTGAATTCTTCTCCTCCGGAGGCTAAGAATCTCGGAGTCTTTTTGTGGTTCAGCAACAACCTTTCATCTCCAGGACCCATTTACTTCAGATATGTAAGACGCCCCATCTATTAACCCTTTGATATCTCTGTCAACTCTGGAATCTTTTTTTGGTCTCAAGTCCAGGCAAAGTACAGCACTTGCAGGCCTGCAAAATGTAGCCCAACAGCTTCTGCAGAGTATTTGGCTGGCCTGATTTGATGACTCATTTTTGTAGGTATTTCCTGGGCTTGTGAATACAACTCACGTACTCAGGAGCCTTTGGGACACTGAAACAGCAATGCCAATACCTAGATCTTAGAGGATTTCCCAGCAGGTGTTCCACTTGAGGGGACAGGTGTGGACACAGGGCCCAGGGCAATTGTGCTGAACATCATCAGAGAAGAGGTGAGGACGGAGGGAGGGACACTGCATCTCCTCACCAGCCCATACCTCCACCACTGACTCTGAGATCAGGGAGGGAGGGACACAGGGTCTTCAGAAAGAAACGACCAGCACACTGAACACTACACACCCCACTGAGAGAATGAACTAAGCCACGAGGAATTGAACTGACAGATCATGCTCATAGCCTGGAGACTTAGTACTGTTGACATTTCTATAGTACCCAAAGCTAAGTAAAAATTCATTGCAACACCAATCAAAATATTAACATCATATTTTCATAGAAATGGGAAAACAAATCCAAAGATATATATGGAACTGCTAAGGACTCCACACAGACAAAATAACCTTGAAAACAAAGATCAAAATATCTCACCTCCTGATTTCAAAACACATTACAAAGATATAGGAATCAAACCTGTATGATACTGACATAGAAATAGATACATAGCCCTAAAGACCAGAATACAGAGCTCCAAGAAAAGTCACGGATACATGGTCAAATGAAATTCATCAAGGTTCTAAGACAATGGAATAGGAAAAGGGTAGTCTCTTCAATAAATCAGTACAATGAAAAGATAACCTACAGAAAAATTACAAGCCATGTATCAGATAAGGAGCTCATCCTCAAAATTCATAAGAAAATACCACAGCTCAAATGCAAAACAAATACAATATTAAAAAGAGTAAATAAGGGAGTTGAGCAATGTGCAAAGATTTAAACAGACATTTCGGGAACAAGACAGACAAATGACTAGCATACAAAGGAAAAGGTTTTCAACCTCACTAATCATCAGGGCAAAGTAAATCAACACCTCATGCCTGTTAGTTTGTATATTATAAAGGCAAAGAATTAACAGGTTAAGGCCATGATGTGGGGAGCTAGAACCTTTGTACACTGCTGGTGGGAATGTAAATTGTGTGGCTATGTTGTGGAAAACAGTAAAAGTTTCCTTATAAATGTATGAAAGGAGTAGCATATGATTCAGCAAACACAGTTCTGGATATATATACAAAGGAAATTAAATCAGTATCACAAAGAGATATCTGCAGTCCTAAATTCACTGCATCACTTTCCACAACAGCCTAGATACACAACCATCTTCAGGTAACAAGTATTCTGTGCCTGAGCTAACTTTAGATAACTGGGAGAAACTTGGTGCTCAAAATAACTGCTTAAGTCTCTTAGCCCCTTAGGGAGGATGAACACAATATTATAACTAAAGTAACATGTCCAAAGTGTCTTAGTCTGAAGTGATGCCACAAAGGTTTTACAGATAGGGAAGCCTCATATACACACAGCCCCAGCCAGGGTTTACCCCAATCTTGGAAAGACTGGGAGGAATCAAACCTGGGAAAGTTTTTTTTTTTTTTTTTTGGCTTGGAAAACAATGTTTTATATGGTAGAACTCAAATATACATACATCTATACATGAAAAAGGTATCATGAGTTATAAAGAAACATAACAGAAAAACATCTTTTCAGTCAATTAAGTTATCACTTAAAAGAAAATATTCTCCAGAATTCCCTGAAGAACCAATGGTTACGACTTGCTGCTTTCACTGCTCTGGGGCCCAAGTTCAATCCTGCCTCTTATCTGTAACCTTCTAAGGGTTTTAAAGATGTTATGAAACGATTAACATGTATAAGCACACCTACTATAGCAATTACCTCTAGACACACCTTCATGATATTTTAGGTTTAAAAAAAAGGAAACCCAATTTGTAAATCTATATATTCTATCATCTGATTTAAAGGAATTGCACTTCTGGTTAGTACTTATTTTTTTACCCCAATTCTTCGATATACTCTTCCAAAGTGTTCAAAAAAAATGGAGCAAAAAAATTCATAAGTTAAAATTCAACATATTTTACAGTCTGATTTACATATTTCTAGTTTTCAAAACATTTCACAGTATTGTTTTTTGCTTTGTAAGTATTCTTTGACAAAAGGTTAGGGAAGAAGAGGGGAACTGGCTTAAAAAAAACTCACAATTACTCCTACCACTCAAGACCATCATTGATCTAACTCAGAAATTCCCAAAGAAAGCCAAAACACTCCAGTTCTAGGCTATTATCTCATTCTATCATCAATGTGAATCAGTAAGTTTAATCACTACAGGAAGCTACCTACCTCTAAGTTTGGACTCTCAAAGGCTTAACACCTGGGGTGTTAATCATTCACTTGTGTCCTACTCTTTGCGGCTCCTCTGTCCATGGGATTCTTCAGGCAAGAACACTGCAGCGGGCCGCCATTCCCCTATCCAGGGCATCCTCCCAACCCACGCATCGAACCCAGGTCTCCTGCACTGCAGGCAGACCCCCCACCATGTGAGCCATCAGGGAAGACCACCTGGGGTAGAATACACTTCAATAAGATCGGTGATGGATCAAAGATGTGCTTTTTTCTGTACATATAGCGAGGACCTGTTAACTGACCCTCAGAAAACTAAATGTGCTAACACTTTGAAAATTCTTCATGTACCCCCTCAGGGATATGAGCACCTCAGTGTTAAGGTCACTGGTTATCATATCTTTATAGTGCATGAGAATCTAGATAGGTTTGAAAACTACAAACACATCCCACCTATCTAAGACATATCTGAATTAGTCCTAGAAGGGAGACAGGCACAAATTTGGGGAGGCTTACCTAGTGGCTCAGAGGGTAAAGCGTCTGCCTCCAATATGTGAGACCCGGGTATGATCACCTGGTTGGGAAGATCCCCTGGAGAAGGAAACGCAACCCACCCCAGCATTCCCGCCCGGAGAATCCCATAGATGGGAAAGCCTGGTAGACTACAGTCCACGGGGTTGCAAAGAGTCAGACACGACCGAACAACTTCATTTTTTTCTTTCCTTCCGCTCTCCAAGTAATGCTTCCCTTTGCAGATAGGGTTGAGACCCTTATACATACCATACCACCTGTATCAGTTCAGTTCAGTCACTCAGTCGTGTCCGAACTCTGTGACCCCATGAACCACAGCATACCAGACCTCCCGGTCCACCACCAACTCCCAGAGTCCACCCAAACCCATGTTCATTGAGTCAGTGATGCCATAGAACCATCTCATCTTCTGTTGTCCCCTTCCCCTCCTGCCATCAATCTTTCCCAGCATCAGGGTCTTTTCAAATGAGTCAGCTCTTTGCATCAGGTGGCCAAAGTATTGGAGTTTCAGCTTCAACATCAGTCCTTCCAATGAACACCCAGGACTGATCTCCTTTAGGCAGGACTAGTTGGATCTCCTTGCAGTCCAAGGGCCTCTCAAGAGTCTTCTCCAACACCACAGTTCAAAAGCATCAATTCTGTGGCACTCAGCTTTCTTTATAGTCCAACTCTCACGTCCATACATGACCACTGGAAAAACCATAGCCTTGACTAGACGGACCTTTGTTGCCAAAGTAATGTCTCTGCTTTTTAATATGCTGTCTAGGTTGGTCATAGCTTTCCTTCTAAGAAGTAAGCGTCTTTTAATTTCATGGCTGCAATCATCATCTGCAGTGATTTTGGAGCCCAGAAAAATAAAGTCAGCCACTGTTTCCCCATCTATTTGCCATGAAGTGATGAGACCGGATTCCATGATCTTAGTTTCCTGAAAGTTGAGCTTTAAGCCAACTTCTTCACTCTCTTCTTTCACTTTCATCAAGAGGCTCTTTAGTTCTTCTTCACTTTCTGCCATAAGGGTGGTGTCATCTGCATATCTAAGGTTATTGACATTTCTCCCAGCAATCTTGATTCCAGCTTGTGCTTCCTCCAGCCCAGCGTTTCTCATGATGCAGTCTGCATATAAGTTAAATAAACAGGATAACAATATACAGCCTCAATGTATTCCTTTTCCTATTTGGAACCAGTCTGTTGTTCCATGTCCAGTTCTAACTGTGGCTCCCTGACCTACATACAAGTTTCTCAAGAGGCAGGTCAGGTGGTCTGGTATTCCCATCTCTTTCAGAATTTTCCACAGTTTATTGTAATCCACACAGTCAAAGGCTTGGGCATAGTCAATAAAGAAGAAATAGATGTTTTTCTGGAACTCTCTTGCTTTTTCAATGATCCAGCGGATGCTGGCAATTTGAT